CACCCTGTATATTTTTAATTCATTGAAAAGAATTTAAAATTACCTTTCCAAAAATATAGCATACTTGATATTTTGCTCGATTCCTCTTCGAGATATAGAGTTTTTAAAAATTCGCCCACTTTGAATGAGTATATAGGCTTGACTCAAGAAAGGGGAACACACAATAGATCTATAAGGTCGCGGTGATTAACTCCCCTCCTAAACATTCTACATTCATTCTACATATAGGCTTTGAACCGCGCCGGGTGTAATGCAAAAATATTTTAGCCTGTGAGCAGCAATTAAAACGAAAATAATATTTGCAATGAGAGATTTAGAATTTTATTACAATTTAAAATATATTTAACAACATCAACACATTTAAACTATATCTAATAACAATAAAAATCAATAGCAAACCAAGAGATGAGATTTTGCTACAGGTGTTCGACATCTTCTGTTGATCGTCTTCTGTTATGGACAGACAGGGCAGTTTTTGAACATTTCTCGCGGAATTCATTAACTCAGTGGGGGTGAAAGATACCCTCTCATAACTGCTAAGTAGTTCTAATTCTTGTCTAGATTATACAGAAGAATAAGGAACCTTTATTCTTCCGCAAATATATCCATAGGATTAGATCCATGGGCACTAAGTCGGCCACGACGGCCAACGGCCGGGATCTTGGTTATCTAATCAATTATTCTTGAAATTGGCTGCAAAAATTTGCTGATAACTTCAGCGTTCAAAGGCGGTGCGTCGTCTTGCTGGAAAAATAAGTTTTCGAGTTCCATTAAGGGCATATCATCAATAAGGGGTCCAAAGCCTACTACGAGTAGTTAAAAGTGGCGAACTTTTAAAAATTCTGTATTTCGAAGGGGATTATAACAAAATATCAACTGTGCTATATTTTTGGAAAGGTAATTTTAAATTCTTAATTAAAAATATAGAGGGTATCCCAAATAAAAAATCAATTTTTTCTGTTGATAACTCTTAAATTATTAATTTTAAAAAAATTATACTTAAACCATTAAATTCTCCGTAAAAAGGTGCTTTGGAAATGTTTTCATAGAAATACAAAATTTTCCATAGCGAAAAAGTTACAGCGATTTGTTAAAAATGCACATTTTTGAAAAACACGAAACGGTAACCGAAACGGTAACAGATATTGATGTGCGGTTTTCACCATCATGTTTTTGATGAAAATTGAGCTCCAGACACCGATATTAGTTTTCGTCTATCTCCTATAGAAAAGGGTGTTTCCATTTAAAAGCGTCGAATTTGACCCATCCTGTACAACAAATTAGTGGAATGAAAAGACATTCAATAAATAACACAACACTGGAAATAGTACAAGAATATATATATTTGGGACATCTACTACACAGTTTGGGATCCCTACTACCAGAAATCAACAGAAAAATTAAGTTAGCATGTCATTCAAAATCAACATATTCAAATCCAGAATCCAATGTGTACTACCAGTCATAACCTCTGCATGCGAAACCTGGACGCTTAAAACGGACATCATAAGAAAACTGCAGATCGCACAACGCTCAATGGGGCGAAATATGCTGGATTTGGGTTGGACACGGACAAATACCCAAGTAACAGAGTCAAATCCCTCAAACGGCAATGGGCGGAAACCTAGTAAGAAGGATCTGTTGTCCAATGGACCACAAAAATTACAGCATGGTACCCACGAGGCATTAAGAGATTTACAGGAAGACCGAACCTGAGATGGGACCATAATATTAGAAAATTAGCATTGGCCCGCAAAGCCAACAATAGAAAACAATGGCCCCAACTGCGAAGAGAGTATGTGATAGAGGCTACACCATAATTGGAAACGAATTTAATTAATTTAATAGAATAGAATTTAATAGTTGAATAAGCTGATGATGATGATGATAATGAATATTGATACTAACAATTTATAAAAAAATTGTAGAATAGGTGCTTCCATAGAAACTAAATAAACTAACTGACTTGGTTTTACATGAGATCTCACAATTTTTTGCAATGAAAAAATTGAATTACGAGACTTGGCATTTTTTTATATTCTATGTTTTTGATAAAATTTTATTTTACCTCAACTAGTTTAACAATTATAAGAAAAGATGCTTACAACCTATCTTAGATAGGAACTATCGGAAACAGGGACTATCCATCTTATCCAATAGTCAAGCAGCACTAAAAGTGATCAACTCAGTAACCATCAATTCGAAGTTGGTCAAAGAACACCTAGAGAAACTGAACAAATTAGGCAAAGAAAATAAAGTACTCCTACTCTGAGTGCCAGCTCACTAAGAAATAGAAGGTAATGAAAAAGCAAACGATCTGGCTAGAAAAGGAGCGAACACTTCACTAACTGAACCAGAACCGTTCTGCTTCCCAAGTGGAAAGCACCTTAAAACAGAACTCAAGAACTTTGAAGATTTTATCCGTAACCTGGAATGGGAATCATCCAACGGTCTAAGATACTCAAAGAAATTTCTGCGGACTTTCGACCGGGAAAAATCAAAGATTCATTTAAGTAAGGACAATCTTGTTTTGACGAGTGTTTTAACATTTATTCTAGCCCATTCCCTTATATTTGTCCTCCTCGACATTTGTCTTCTGCCTGGATCTCGTTTCCCTTGTTTACCTTTGATGATGATAGTAGATCGTATTTATCGTTCCTCAAAATGTGTCCAAAATATGCCGATTTTCTTTTCTTTATTACTTATACCTAATCCTCCTTATCTGGGTGCCAGCTCACCAAGGGATAGAAGGCTCTGAAAAAGCAAACGATCTAGCTAGAAAAGGAGAGAACACCCCCACTAACTGGACCAAAACCGTTCTGCTTCCCCATCCGTAACCTGGAATGGGAATCCTCCAACGGTCTAAGACACTCGAAGAAATTTCTCAGAACTTACGACCTAACAAAATCAAAGATTCTCCTTGATTTAAGTAAGAACATTAATCTTCGGATTGTCACGGGATTTTTAACAGGACATTGAAGTTAACAAACAACGGCGATTGCAGATTCTGTGGAGAAAATGGAGAAACACCAGAACACCTCATCACCGAGTGATAATGATCACGGAGATCATAACCATTGGTGCCATAAACTTTGGTATGACTGATATCGGAGATGGAGAACCACCCTTCGTAAAACCGTCTCAGATACTGGCTTTTGCCAAAGCCCTTAGACTGTATATAGTTATAAATTGTTATAACCCAAGAAAGGGGTACTTACAATATATTTTTAAGGTCGAGGTGATTAAAAAACTAAAGCATTTGAAGTCATGTTAAGTGGTTGTAATTTGGCATTCCAAATTCTTTCCAAATTTAGTTAAAAGTTAAAATTTGGCATTTTGTATTATACTGTGTACCTTATCTATCTAAAATTTATTTTCTGTTTGACATATACATATAAATGATCCAGCAATAAATTCATAAAACTGACATCCTTATGATGAGATATGTATAACGAATATTTTGAAATTTAGTTTTTTGCAAATATTCTAATAGCTACTGAAATTATCTATACAAATAAAAACATTAAAAACTGGGTAACAAACCATTCGGATGTAAAATAAAACAAACTAGGTATGTAATTTAGATAATGCCTCTCATAAGTAGCGATGATTTAGTGTTTCTGATGACAACTATCTTTTTTCTTCAGCCATTATACGAACAAGTTTGATCAGTTCTTGCTAACAATATCAAATTGATTGGAATGGCAAATTGACATTGAAAGTGATTTATGTGCAGATCTGAAACCCAGTATAATGTATATTTGCAGAAAAAAAGCAGGCGCAACTTTGTAACAGGGACTGGTACTGATTAAGTTGTTTCACTTTCATACGCTGTACTAATTCTATTTGCAGTATTATTGTATTTTAATTTGGAATTTATGTTTATAAAATTTGTTTTAAACTGAAACCAATATTAATTGGCGGCACCTGGTTCAAAATTTTAAAATGCTTTGACAAATTTTATAAAAGAATTAAAATACTTACATACTGATTATAAATTAGATATGTCTTATATTCTTTGATGTTTGCAACAATAAATTTTAATACAATATATAATTACTTTGTAACAGGGAATATAAAACAGGGAAGGCTGTACTTAAACTGCCGTTAAACGGTAGGCTATTGAAATGCCGTTACTAGGTATGACGTCGTTGATGTGACGCACTTGACGGCTTTTTAATGCTTTGGTTAAAATGCCGTCGAACGGTCGCGTACTAAAATGCCGTTAATCGTTAATGCAGAGTAGGCTTATTGATTAATACTTAATAATTTGTAATGTAATGTTGTCCAAAATCCGCCATGGCTTATTCTGAATAAAATTAACTTGGAGCGGTGTATATGTAGGTAGACCTTTTTATTGTTAATCTAAGGGTAGACCGTTGTATATGTTGCCGTTGTAGGTTTGAAAATGTATTTGCGATAAAATGTAATATATGGCATTGGTTTTCAGGTTTTTATTGCAAATTATAAACTGACTGACAACTTAAAAATAATACTACGTCAACTTAAAAATAATAATGCTACGGATAGCATTCTCTGCAAAAGTCCAGTTTTGATTTAGGTCGCTTAGTCAATCCTGCACAACGGATATATCTCCATAGAAGGCATCTACTGCAACAAAGTGATATATGATTTTTCTGCGTGTCTTCACTGCACACAGAACAAAACCAACTTTGTTGAAGTCGTTTCTGCTCAACTAGATTGGTTATTTTTTCAAAGGCTTTCTCGGTGCAAAAACTTCTAAAAATCGTAATTTACATTATTAGTTATTAATTTGGTAATTATTAGGTATCGCTAGACTTACCTTATTATTTGGATATCAACAGCCTCTCAAGAGCGGATGTGATATTTCTTCGGGGAGCATTTTAAGGTCTACAGTTTCAAGAAATTTCCCATTTGTGATGTCTCTAACGATGTTACGATCCTTAACGAAGCAATTCAGGATTACATTTTGTTTTTCATGATAGGATTGTTTAGCAAATGCTACAGTACATCTTTTCTTTTTCTTTGGTAGTTCCATGACTGTTAAGTCCTGTCCTTTTGGACGTCCTTTATGAGAAAAACAGGTAATCCTATTTTAAGTAATTTATATGTAGCATCTACTGCAAGAAATTCTGGAAAAGCCTTCATTGTACATGGTTGGACTTTGAATGAAAAGTCCTCTGAAATTATTGTCTTCGTCTCGCAAAACAGCTACATTGGCACCTCAAAAACAGAGTAGTTATTGGAACTAATAAGACGATAATAGAATATTTTAGTTTACCATATTTAGCTTTAAGTATATTTAAGCAGCCATCTAAGTTTTCTTTTCTTGATTGATCGGATATCTTCATATTTGTTAAATCTTGTAAAGTGACAATTTTACCAGTACTTTCTTGAACTTTTTGCTGTATCATTTTTCTATTGGCCTTCATATTCAAATAATCCTTGACGCTTTCCTTCATGTTACTGGAAAGTTTTCTTTGGCTAGGGTTATGTGCATGTAGAACCTACTATAAACCTATAAAATATATCTTTTATGAATAAAATAGTGTTCAAGCAAGAATTCTAAAAGCATACTATATGTCAACTAATCTGTAAACTTACCTTCGAAGTGACATGATTGTGCTTCATTTGAACCGATGTTACCTCGAGTGCTTTTCCATCAGACGATGCTTTGAATCTTACATGTACTGGGCAATCTTCTTTAAATGTCCAAGACTCTCGAATTTTTTTCCCACCGCCCTTAAACTTCTTTCCACCGTGATTACATGCATATAGAAGTTGATAATAAATCAAAGAGCTTTCTATTGGTCTCACAATTTTACTGCTTGCAATCGTACGGGCATCTCGTTTCCAAAATGTTGTGTACGTATTTTCACCAAGTTCCTCAATCGCCTTCTTTGCGTTAGCGAATGAGCTGAACCTATCCCCAATTTTCAGCATGCTAATTTCAGTCATGAAAAATAATTAGGTACCTAACTAACCTAAAAATGTTTATAGATAAATTAACAATCAGAAAACTAACTGAAACACTTACTCCATCCTGAACCGATAATATCCAGATGTACATCTTAATTAAAATCAACTTATAGCACTTAGCACAAATTGTTACTACAACAATAATGCAAACGCGACGAAAAAATCATACCAAAAGGGCAACGGAAAACGGAACACCATTGGAACACAAATTGATTAACGGCATTTTAGTACGCGACCGTTCGACGGCATTTTAACCAAAGCATTAAAAAACCGTCAAGTACGTCACATCAACGACGTCATATCTATTAACGGCATTTCAGTAGGCTACCGTTTAACGGCAGTTTAAGTACAGCGAACAGGGAATTACCGGTTTACCGGAATTTACCTTTTTTTGAACATAAGTATAAAAGCAACTTTTATCAAATTAAAGCAGCATTTTCAAATACAAATTTCTTTTAATTCCTTCTTGCTGAAAATATTGCATTTGTTTTCAAGATTTGGGAAATAACCATAGATGTCATATATTTTACAGCTGGTTTAGCTTGGTTAGTTTTAGCTTTTTTATTGAAAGTAACACATTTTCCTTAATCGACAACAGTTTTGCCAATGTTGAAGTCTTATTAGAGACTCAACTAGAATTAACGAATTCGAAATAGCTCAAATAGCGTTCGTATTCAAATTTATTTTGAACTTTGAGGTGCGTTGAATTAGTTGAGTTTTTCTGAAGTCGACAACATGAATTTTGGACTGTCTTTTTTTGGGCGCCATTTTTGGCATCGTCTGGATAAAAAAATAGTAGACCCATGTGAAATTGTTCATATAAACTCATGGTACTTGCTCGAAGTCGCGGACGGTCCGCTCCATCTGAAAGCGCTGTAAAGTGAATATTGTATTATTATTTTTTCTTATTAAGAACACTTTATCATCATTTTTAAATTCGTTTTACATAGGAATATGTGTACTATCCAGTCGGTAATAAATTTATTATATTAAAACAAAAAGGTCTATCTCTATTAAGGCAGGCGGCCACTGCGAGCGAAACTAAACTAAGCTAAGAATATAAAAAGAAGCGGTAACTAAACGGCGAACGATTTGTTCTTAGTAGTCAGCTAAGTTAGTTGCGTTTTTGTATTGTGTCTCTGCTATCATAGAATTAATCGCTGCGAAAAATTCGCTGGAACCTGTCACGAACTAAACCGAGCGAAACTAAACTACGCTACGATTTGAATCTTCGTTCATATATTTTCGTTCAGTTTCGCTCAAGTTGCCGCTGATGCATTTAAAAGTATAGGAGCTGATTTTCACAAATCTTATCTTCGCTTAGTTTAGTTTCGCTCGCAGTGGCCGTCCCCCTTTAAACAACTAAAATAAATTGTTTATTAGAATTTACGCTCAATTTGTCTTTAGAACGTTTCTTCAAGGTCTCCGTTTAAGTGTTAGAAAAACACTATTAAAAAATTAAAGACTTTACATTTATTGGCAAAATAAAGTAAGCGCTTTTCTTTAAATTGCTCTCCTGTAAAGTAGCAAAAATCGAGATGCGCCTTTTCGTTATAAAGCCGACGATATATACAGGGTGTTTCAAAAAACATGTGCCATCTCTCATGGGGAGATTCCTCACGTAAAAATAAGATTTATTTTCAATATAGGTCCGATTTGGCTTTGTTTCGTTGATACAGGGTGTTAGGTTAGGTCTTAATAATAATCTTTCGATTTATTATAATTTTCTTCTAAGTACTTTTAGTGATTCGAATGAGTAAAAGTTACTATAAGTGATACATATTTTAATGCTAAAATGTGTCGACGTATTCACCATTTTTTCAAAATAAAACATGTGTGCCACTGACTTTTTTCTTTTGATATCAAAATTGTGTAGGTCGTTCAATGCCATTTAAAAGTTATTTCTTGATATTTTACTTGATTATGAGATAAACGCCAATTTCTTAATTACAATTAATAAAATTAAAATAAAAATATAATTAATAAATTATATATTTTATCCCAATTTATTATTAAATATTATTACAATTAGTTATTATTATTATTAGTCCAACCGACAGCATGTTGAAATAAAAAAAATTATGGTATTATGATAACTACAAAAAACCTAATTTTAAAAAGTTTTAACATCCTGTAACTCTAAAACTATGCATTTCCATACCCATGTTTATAGGAACTTTTTTTCACATTTTTTGATGAAGAATCAATGAGTACTTATTTAAAATTTTCTCAAGTTAATGATATTAAATTTTTTTAAGTGTTGCTATTATAGACTTGGATGAAGGCAAATTAATAAAATTACGGTTACTCATCAAGGAGGCCAAAATCGATAAAATATCAAGAGACAACTTTCAATCGGTATTAAACTGCTTACCCTATTTCGCTAACAAGAGACAAAAAAGTCAGTAGCGTACATGTTTTTTTTTAAATATTCCAGTGATAACCCATATTGACGTCCCTGGTGAATGTCGACACTTTTTAGCTTTAAAATACGTCACATTTATAGTAACGTTTACCCTCAAAATTTCTTTCGAAACGCTAAAAGTACTTGGAAGAAAATTAAATTAAATCGAAAAAATCGACACCCTGTAGATACGAAACAAAGCAGAATCGGACCTATGTTGATATGAAAAATACGTCTTATTTTTACGATTATTTTTTTATTTAAGAATCTCCCCATGAGAGATGGCACATGTTTTTTAAAACACACTGTATACAACAAAAATTAATATTTAAAATAGTTACATTGGTTTGTAATATCTTTTTGTCTTGCAACAATCTTTTCCTTTACGGATTTAATTGTAATCTGTAGTAGATTAGTTCTGACTAATCCTAATTACCGTTATTTTTCGTGGTGTTTGATTTCTCATTAGATAAATAAATAACAAGAAAAGTTAAACTGATCGACAGAGTAAAAGGAATGTTTTAATTATGTATGTTAAGTTGATAAATACTATGTAATTTTACGTTCTCGTGCAATTCTCTTGTGTTTTATCTTTCTTGGACCAGTTTCCATTCGATAATAATTTGTTGAGTAACATTTAAACACCGTTTTGTCTTTGTTGTCGTTCCTTAGGTGTATACATAATTATTTCTAATGAGTTTCTGATTGAGTGTGAAACTCTATTATATGAAGACGTAAAAGACGTATTGTTTACGTAAATTTTGCAACATTACTCTTTTCGTAAGAACCCAATTATTTTTAATTAGATTTATATGTAGTATTTTTCAATTTAAGTATTTGATAAAAATATATGAAGTTTCTAAATATATGTTTAAATTAACTTTTTATGTTTAAATGTTATTTTTCAGTACGCTATTGATAGTATAACTTGGTCGATTAATATAAGTCTAGACAACATAAGATCTAGATTAGATTGTATAGATTTTCCTGACTTCCCCCCATATAGGGGGGAAGAAGGATCACCGCAATTTTACAGATCTAACAGTGGCGGAACCAGAGGGGAGCCATGGAGCCTGACACCCCCCTCCTAAAATTTATAAATTAGGAGGAGGGTTAATCACCGCGACCTTACAGTTCTATTATGTGTTCCTCTTTCTTGAGTTATAACGAGTTACAACTCATCATACAGCGTTAGGGCTTTGACAAAAGCCAGTATCTGAAACGGTTCCACAGAGGTCAGCTCTCCATCTTTGACATCAGCCGTATCAAAGTTTATGGCACGAACGGTTATCGTCTCGGCGCACTCAGTGATAAGGTGTTCAGGTGTTTCCCTATTTTCCTCACAGAATCTGCACTAGACGTTGTTTCTCAGCTTCAATCTACTGAGGTGTCGTCGACAGTGTTTTGTTAGAAACCCCATGACAATTGCTTTTACATAAATCAATGAAAATCTTTGATTTTTCTCGGTCGTAACTACTGAAGTTTTTCGAGTGTTTTAGACCGTTGGAGGATACCCATTCCAGGTTACGGATGGAGTCTTCCAGGTTCTTCAGTTCCACTCAGTGCTTGGAAAGCAGAACGGTTCTGGTCCAGTTAGAGGAAGTGTTCGCTCCTTTTCTAGTTAGACCGTTTGCTTTTTCATTGCCTTCTATCCCTTGGTGAGCGGGCCGGGCAGGACTTTATTTTCTTTGCCTAATTTGTTCAGCTTCTCTAGGCATTCTTTGATTAACTTCGAATTGATGTTTACTGAGTTGATCAATAATATATGTCTACAATAGATCTGAAAAGGTCAGTAGATCAATCGGGTAGCCACCTCGAAGAATCTATATATCTATTGCGTTCCCCTTTCTTGAGTTATAACTCATCATACAGTCCCAAGACCTTGACAACACTCAGTATCTGAGACAGTTTACCACGGAGATTAGTTCTCCATCTCCGATATCAGTCGTATAAAAGTTTATAGCACAATTGGTTGTCGTTTCTGTGCAGTCAGTGATGAAATGTTCCTGTGTTTCCCCATTTTCCTCACAGAATCTGCATTCGCCCTTGTTTCTTAGCTTCATTCTACTGAGGTGTTCACGGTGTCCTGTTAAAAAATCCGTGACAATCCGAACATCAGCATAAGGTCGAGAAGGGCCGACATCATTTGATTTTAAGTGTTGAGTTACTGGAAAAAGGCAAGACAATAGAAATGAATTCGATTCGAATTTTATTAATATGTTCTCTATACTTTAAAAATATAGCAATGATTTTGTTTATTTTAGACTTGCACTCAGTACGAGTAAATACAAAGCATATTAGTTATGAAACATAATTAAATTTATTTTATTAGTCCCCCTTTTAGATTAATATTTACAACACAATCAAATAAAAGCAAAATCTAAATAAGGCGATGTCTCAACACTCCCAACTATTGTCCCGCAAAATTCTCTTATTGTTGTAGGTAACCTAAACGTTATGCTTTCATAACGTGTTGGTATTTGTTGTTTGTTGTAATACAAGACAAGTAGTTAATTCGCCATTAATAATATACACAGTGGTGTATCTTAAAATTTCAATTAAGAGGGAACAGAGTTGTTTACCTACAACACGTTTTGGTTTGGGGATTGCGGATAATTTTTAGATAAAAATATTTTTAAAAGGATCTCAAATACATATCATCATACATCTCTTAG